TGCTTTTAGGTTGTGGCCGTTTCATCTGAAAGTGAACAGATTTAGATCAATAATCATAAATCAATACAGCCAATATTGATGCTGTGATGTTACTTATTTACTCAGGTATCTACTTCCTGTTTATGTACTTCAGATTAACCTGCTGAAAAATTAACAAGTATTAATAATAGATTTTAAACACACCCAGTTCCAGTCTGGTTGATTGTTTCCTCCTCCTCTTCTTCCTCTTCCTCCTCTTCCTCCTCCTCCACACTCCTCTTTCCAGCTCCGCCCAGCAGGGAGGCTCGGAGCCTGGGCGGCACCACTGACATCCTGGCCTCTTCCCTGCGGAGGGAAACAGCTCTTGGAGTTCGAGGCGGCGTCGAGGAGGCCCTTCTGGTCCTGGATCAGCTCAGTCTGGCTCTGGAGGAGGTGCTGGCTCGCCTGCTGCGGGTGTTGCTGCCCGGGGTCGGAGGTCAGAGGGTAGCTGTCGTACTCCTGCAGGCAGCAGCTGAGGGCTTTGTCTCGGCTCAGCTGTCTGGACGTGTGAAAGTCCGGTCTCCCTTCCCTGAGATGCATTTGAGGACCGGGGCTGGATATAGTCGGGGTCTGCGGGTAATGAGGACTCGGACCAGGGGTATTGGGGCTACAGAAGGGCTGGGGGGCGTTGTTGTCGTGGCAACCGTCGTAGAAAAACTGAACACCGGAGGAGTCATCAGCAGGCGATGAGCTGAACTCCATGGAGCTCCATCTGCCGAGGCCGACCTCTCCGGATGTGGAGCCCAGCGGAGAGCACTGCAGCTGGGACAGAGTTGGCCCCAGAGGCCTCCAGACGTCCTGAACGGGACCAGGTGCGACACCCTGATCGTACACGCCGCCGCCGCCGCCGAGGTGCGTGTGGGCATTATAGGGCAGTCTGTTCTCCAGTTCACCTCCAGTACCAAACTGGTTCTGGTTCTGGAGGTCGAGGTGGGCCGTGTTCTGGTTCTGGTTCAGATCAGACACAGAGAGACAGTAATGCTGTGATTTCTGGTTCTGGTTCTGGTTCTGGTTCTACATTACAGACGACTGTCTTACCTGGCAGGAGTAACTGTAGCTCTTCAGCAGGTAGGAAAGGTCAGATGGTGGTTCAGGTCCGCTCCAATCTGGATTATCAAAACCCGGATCATGATTTTGGTTGGAGAAGTGGTGCTGGAGCGGGGAGAGGAGGTGAGGGGAGGTCACCTGGGAGTGGGGGGCGAAGTGGGGGGAGGTGACATTGGAATGAGGGAGGTGATGAGGGGAGGTTACCTGGGCCCGAGGAAGGAGGTGAGGGCTCGTTATCTGGGGCTGATTATGGTAAGGGGAGGATACCTGGGGTGGGGGGAGGTGAGGGGAGGATACCTGGTACTGGGACACACAGTTAGGGGAGGTTACCTGGTTGTGATAGAGGAGGTGAGGGGAGGGTACCTGGGTCTCAGGTACGATGGGAGGGGAGGTTACCTGGAGTGGACACGGGTAAGGGGAGGTTGCCTGAGGGTGGGAGTAGTGAGGGGAGGTCACCTGGGGAGGAGGCAGGTGATGAGGAGATGTTACCTGTTGCTCAGGGAGGTGATAGGAGGGAACCTGGGGGAGAGGAGGTGCACAAACAAGTTAATAAGTATAAAACAATAAAGCATAAACTCGTCCAATCAGAGCGTGAATAAGAACCTTGGCGTGAGGAGGGTTTCCATGGTTTCCGGTTGACGTGGGGGAGGAGAGGGGAGGAGGGGAAGAGATGAACGGAGAGGAGTGATGGATGATGGGAGAGGACGAGGAAAATGGCCACAAGTCAGACATGATGTCACGCACACACACACCTGTTAACACTGAGTCCAGGTGTGTTCATGTGCATGATTGTGTGTGTGTGTGTGTGTGTGTGTGTGTGTGTGTGTGTGTGTGTGTGCGTTAACTGGGCGCCGTCTTCACGTGAATCTGATGATCTGCAGGACGACACAAAGGACGCAAGGTCAGTCGCAGATGGCGGTCTCTGATGGTGCAGGTGGAGCACAGCGACCTGGTTTTAGCTTTAATAGACAGGAAACGAGCGATGAGCCTCACTGATCCTGTTACAGATGTTACAGATGTTACAGATGTTACAGATGTTACAGATGTTACAGATGTTACTGATGTTACAGATGTTACTGGTGTTACTGATGTTACTGATGTTACTGATGTTACTGATGTTACAGATGTTACAGATGTTACTGATGTTACTGATGTTACAGATGTTACTGATGTTACTGATGTTACTGATGTTACAGATGTTACAGATGTTACAGATGTTACTGATGTTACAGATGTTACTGATGTTACAGATGTTACAGATGTTAGTGATGTTACAGATGTTACAGACGTTACTGATGTTACAGATGTTACTGATGTTACTGATGTTACTGATGTTACAGATGTTACTGATGTTACTGATGTTACAGATGTTACTGATGTTACTGATGTTACTGATGTTACAGATGTTACTGATGTTACAGATGTTACTGATGTTACTGATGTTACAGATGTTACTGATGTTACTGATGTTACAGATGTTACAGATGTTACTGATGTTACAGATGTTACTGATGTTACTGATGTTACAGATGTTACTGATGTTACTGATGTTACAGATGTTACTGATGTTACAGATGTTACAGATGTTACTGATGTTACAGATGTTACAGATGTTACAGATGTTACTGATGTTACAGATGTTACAGATGTTACAGATGTTACTGAGCTTCAGGCTGCAGTTGAGTGTTAATTAAGTGGAGCTATAACGGGTCTGTGTCATTACTGTCAGCGCACAGACCACAGCAGCTCTATATGAGTAAGTGTGAACGTGTGACACCAGGACACTTCTAAGAATTCACACCCAGATGATTAAAACTTCTCTTAAAGTGACAACGACGATTAATTTCACACAAAAATCAACACAAAAGATATTCTATGTTCCGATTCTCTCGTCTGTGTTTGTCTGAATTAGTCGTCGTTAATAAAAACTTCACTGACGTCGTCACCAAAACACTAAAAATTCATTTTGATAAATTTGATATCAGACAGTGGGCGACATTATTTATCATTTCCTCTTTAACATCTTTTAAACCATAAAACTCCAAATGTAGAATGACACAGAGTTCATAAGGACATACTGTTAGTAGATACAAAGAGAGCAACAGCACTGATAACATCGTCAGTTAGTTTAAATCAAATCTAAATGAAATGAAACCTCTCACCTGAAACATCATCGACTCCGACTGACTGACTGACTGACTGACTGACTGTGTGTGTGTGTGTGTGTGTGTGTGTGTGTGTGTGTCAGGATGTGGTCACATGTTCTTCCTCTCTCTGGTCGGTCTCTTCAGACTCTGCTTCTTCCTCCTGATGATGATCTCAGACGCTGGTGAGACTGAAGAGCTCAAACCAACAAAGATAAATGTAATTATAGTGCAATTAAAATAACTAAATACAGAAAGTTTAATGAGATAAAAACTAGATAAAGTTTTATTGTTGTATTCTGTGGTAATGTTGACAGTATCAGTGCGCTCAGCTCTTTTATGCAGAGTTAGGACAGTAGAGTCAAACTTTGTGTATTTTATCTCCTATAATCATTAAAACTGCCATCAAACAGATTCTTAAAAGCTTTCTTCGGTTTTTTTGCCTTCAGTCGAAACTTCCTGAATTACAAAGATGTTGAGATCTGTAAGATTTTGCTAATTAATGGAGCCTGACTGAAGTGAATTTACTGTAACTTAACCCCCACCCACTTTTTAATTAGAGTATTGTTATTATTAGAGTAAATGTTTTTCTATTTATATACTTTCTTTTTATTCATATATATATATATAAATATTATATATTTATATATATATATATGGATTTGTTTTTATAGACACATAATAAAGCTCTGTCCTGCCAATAACATCATTGTTGTTTTATTAATTTAACTTATAATTATTTTTTTCCCTCGTCATCGGAACCTTTGTCAGGCAGCTCGCGGCGATGCACGGCGCCTTTACAGCGTGGGACCGAGGTCAGAGCCAAGAGTGAGGAACCGGAAGTGTGTCGGTTTTAAGCGATTGCACCCTTCAAAATAAAAGAAAACAAGAAGGGCTTTTGTTGATGTACGATTAAATTACTGTAAATAATAATTCATTCTTTAAAATCTGTCTTTAATCAATACAACCAATCAGGACAGCGATATGAAAAGTACATAAAAATAATATTTGATTTTACATATTGTGCTTTCACAAACGTTTTTAGAGAGATGGACCAATCATAATTTATCTACACAAATCACAAGAATAATATATCTGCTGTAAAATTATAGACATTATAAAGCATTTTATGTGAAAGATATATATAGAGTAGTATTTTTTATATATGGATGTGAGCAGCAGTTTTTCTTATAATAAATTCCTCAATAGATATAAAATGTAGATGCATCTGAGGTTGCAAGAGTTTATAATTCTTGAATAATTGGGAAAGCACAGGACTGTATAAACTACATTGTGTGCAGTGATATAATAATAATAATATAAATATTAATAATAATATTAATATTAAATTAAACTACATTGTGTGCAGTGTATATAATAATAATATAAATATTAATATAATATTAATATTAAATTAAATAATTGTGTGTAATAATAATATTAATATTAAATTAAACTACATTGTGTGCAGTGATATTACAATAATAATAATAATAATAATATTAAATTAAACTACATTGTGTGCAGTGATACAATAATAATAATAATATTAAATTAAACTACATTGTGTGCAGTGATATTATAATAATAATATTAAATTAAACTACATTGTGTGCAGTGATATAATAATAATAATAATAATAATAATAATATTAAATTAAACTACATTGTGTGCAGTGATATAATAATAATAATAATAATAATAATATTAAATTAAACTACATTGTGTGCAGTGATATTATAATAATAATATTAAATTAAACTACATTGTGTGCAGTGATATAATAATAATAATAATAATAATAATATTAAATTAAACTACATTTACTTATATTTTGGGGTCTAAAGTAATCAGATATTACCGCCTTAAAAGCTCACGATGTGTAATTTATGTGTAGAATTATTAATTAGTCAGAATACAGAAATCATTTGGCGGGTCGCTTTTATTTTGAAGCTTGAGAGCGGAAGTAGTTTGACGCCGGTGCGCTCGCTCTCCCTCCGGCTCAGGTCAGCACGAGACCAACCGTCCTCAGCTTTATTTAAATTCACGTCATTAACGTCATTAACGTCATTAACGGTCCGTTAACGGCCGTTTGTTGAAATGTGACGAGTTAAAGTCAACATGTGGTTTCCGGTGATGACAGCGTGACGTAGGCGGAGCTACAGCTAATACTAATGCTAATGCTAATGCTAACTAGCTGCTGTAGGACGTTTATAGAGGGATGAGTCAGTGACGTCATACTTTGTTTCCGGAAGTTGCCACTAAATGTAAACACAATAATTATTATTAGTAATTAGGGTTGAGGAAAGGACGGAAGCCTGAAAGGTTCATTCACAATCAATCAATCAATCAATCAATCAATCAATCAATCAATCGATGAAATGTTAGCTCTAATGATGGTGCAGCGTAATAAAATAATAATATTTGTAGAGACTGAACTCTTAGATTATAAACAATGCACTTCTTGTACACAAATAAACGTTTTGTTGTTTGATTTGTTTATTTTGTTTACAGATGTTTACAGATGTTTACAGATGTTTACAGATGTTGACGCCGTGGAAGTGAAGAAGTGACGCCATGATGTCACACACCAGGAGGGCGTGGTCTCTTCTCAGAGGCGGCTCAGGTGTTGGGTCCGGCTCCTCCTCCTGTGACGGAGGAGGTCTGGTGCTGCGCTCCCGGTCCACCGACGTGTACCAGAACCTGGCTCTGGAGGACTGGATCGACGCCAACGTGGACCTGGAGCGGCGCGGCGTCCTGCTGCTGTGGAGGAACCGGCCGGCCGTGGTCATCGGGCGCCACCAGAACCCCTGGGCCGAGTGCGACCTGGCAGCCATGAGGAGGGCGGGGATCCCTCTGGCCCGCAGGCGCAGCGGCGGCGGGACCGTGTTCCACGACCTCGGGAACCTCAACCTGACGTTCTTCGCCTCCAAGAAGGCGTACGACCGCCAGAGGAACCTGAAGGTGATCACAGACGCTCTGAGGAGGATCCGACCCGGACTGCAGGTCCACGCCACCGACAGGTTCGACATCTTACTCAACGGACACTTGAAGATCTCAGGTACATGTCCCAGAATGCACTGCATGCAGCTGTGTTGTTGTTTTGTGTTGTTTGTGATGTTGTTGTTGTTATTTACGTTTACAGGCAGCGCGTCCAGACTGAGCAGGAAGTCGTCGTACCATCACTGCACTCTGCTGCACTCCGCTGACCGCTCCGCCCTCGCCGCCGTCCTCCGCCCCTCCTGCCCCGGTATCCATAGCAACGCCACGCCCAGCGTCCCCTCGCCTGTCGCCAACCTGCTGGACCACGCCCCCTCGCTGCAGTGGGAGGAGCTGCTGGACGCACTGGCGAACCAGTACAATGCAGGTAAACAGTGTTTGGCCCCCTCGCTTCACCCTCGCCCTCCAAACGAGCTCCTGTAGAAACGTCTGTGGTGAACGAGGACCTCTGCTGGACAGAGAGTGAAACTACAGCGAAATACAACGGCAGATTGATCAGTGATTGATCAGTGATTGATCAGTGATTGATCAATCAATAAACAGTGGGAACAACAAAGCTTCTCAATCAGCTCTTAATCATGTGTAATCCCATCATCCTGCTGTCATTAGACCAACAGCACAGTAATTATAGCATCACAATAAACAATAAACAATAAAGTTTATTTGTATATAAAAACAGAACCTGCACACTGAGTGATTTACATTTGTTTATGTGTTTACTGTTGTTGTTGTTGTTGTTCTATTGGGCCTGCAGTGTATATTAGTAATTCATTGATAAATAATGCTGTTTACTGTCTCACCTGGCTGCAGTGATGTAGAGACGTACTGCAGGGTGTGTCAGTACATTGTGACATCACTCTTACCTAACCAGCTGTTTCCATTAATGTGTCCTGATGTTCAGAGTTCAGCTCCGGCGCCACGGCGACCCTCGTCGACCCCGCTGATGAGTCGGCGTTTCCTGGACTCGGGCGGGTGGCGGCGGAGCTGCGGGACTGGAACTGGACGTTTGGTAAGACGCCTAAATTTAGCGTCCAGACTGTCCTCCACCTGACTGACGACCACTCGCGCGCTCGCAGCTCCGCCCAGCTGCACATGGAGGTGAAGAACGGCGTGATCGATAGCTGCCAGCTGGACGTTCCCGCTGACTGGCTCCCTCCGCGGCTGAGCGGCGAGCTGAGCGGCGTGCTGGTCGGCGAGAGGTTCTGCGGGCATCGAGCGGCGGCGGCGGTTACTGCGCTGCTGCGGCCCGAGAGCGGCGAGCTGCGGCACAGACTGCGCAGCCTGTGTGACGCTGTGGTGTCTGTAATGGGCTGACATTAAACTGCTGCGCCCCCTGGAGGCTGCGGAGGTCATTACAGCCGTATGTTCAGTGATAAACATCAGTTTGTCCTGAAGGGGGCGCCGCAGGAAACATCACGTGGCTCTGATGTCATATTCACATCAGTCCAAGTTGTGATCGATCCTTCTGGACGTCCAATCACAGCCGAGAACCTCGGTCGACTCCCTCCTGTCCTGGACTGAGAGATGCTTCTTAAGTTAGAGAACATCAGCTGACTTAACATGTTTATTGTAAACATTGATTAGCTCTTTAATACGTCAACAACAATAAAATGGGATTATTGATGAGTTTCCAGTCTCAGCGTCAACCGTCGTCTCTATAATCAATAACACAGACATATATAATAAATCAACTCTTTATGTTTATGTTGGTTCATTATCTGACAGTTTACACTTTAAGTTTATTCACACTCAAACAGCAGCTTCACAGAAAGACAAGAAACTAATTAATAAATGTTATTATTATATATTTTAAATCTCAAATGCAGATAAATATTTCTGCTACAGCACTGATATTTCCAAATAAAGGTATTACATCATCATTAAAACAATAAGTGATAATGGATCAATAAGGTCAATCTCTGTTTATTGATCATTTACAGTCTCACCAACCTCTGACGGCTCATGTCGCAGGACGCATGCGCTGTGCTCCAGATTCGAGCCATGCGTGCTGCTGGGAACTAGAGGGGGAAAAAGAGGAGGAGTCACTCTGATCTTATTTCACAAATACATTTATATTATTTCCTACAGATATATTTTATATGTTACAATTCATCACACAAATCGATCTTATGACACTTTTAGTAGCATAAAGGGAACTATACCTGGATTTCATTCTACGACAATAAAACAACCTTTAATATTTTTAATTATTTATTATATATATATATATATATAGATATATTTATTATAGATGTATTTATATTGATTTATCTGTCATGGGCTCTACATTTGACAGCTAATGATAGCAAAACGCTAGCTAATCTACACCAATCATTAACTAGTTAACGTTAGTTAGCAACAGTAATAATAATTATAATAATAATAATAATAATGATTATTATAATAATGATTATAATAATAATAATAATAATGATTATAATAATAATAATAATAATAATAATGATTATAATAATAATAATAATAATTATTATTATTATTATAATAATGATTATAATAATAATAATAATGATTATAATAATAATAATAATTATTATTATTATAATAATGATTATAATAATAATAATAATAATAATGATTATAATAATAATAATAATAATAATGATTATAATAATAATAATAATAATAATTATAATAATAATGTTATTCTACATATTTTAATTTCCTGGACAACGACTGACTGCACATATTCGGTTCCTATGGAAACGGTCGACAGCTGGTATGCTGCGGAGTGAGACCTCCTCTCGGTGTCACTCAGCAGACGATCTTTGTCTGAGGAGCTCCGTCGTGTGGAGCAGCGGAGAGAGAACCGGAGCAGCGGAGCACCGGAGCACCGCCGCCGCCGCAGGATGGGGAAGAAACAGAAGAAATCCGGAGAGGACAGGTAGAGAGAACACCTGCTGCCGGCACACATCACCTGTCCCCACCGACAGCCCACCGACAGCCCACCGACAGCCCCCCGATAAAGGCCCGTTAGCCCGCTGTTACTCTGTTAGCTGTGGCGGCTAGCAGATGCTAACCACGAGTCAGTGTGTGTGTGTGTGTGTGTGTGTGTGTGTGTGTGTGTGTGTGTGTGTGTGTGTGTGTGTGTGTAGGTGGTGATTTAAACACCTGGCTTAAGATGAATTACACAACCCGGGCTAACCCGGGCTAACCTCAGCAGCCGGTGCGGGCTAGCTTTGGGTTTGATGCTAGTTAGCTTAGCATTAGCTTCCACCGTCAGTGATAAACAGCGTGACCTTTGACCTGCGACAACTAGCCGCTACATGCTAACAGTTAGCCTGTTTATCAGCAGCCCTGTGAGTGTGACAGGATGACGTAATGGTGGGTACCTGCTCACCTGCTGACCAGTCGCCGTCCGGTGACGTCATCACACACCTGAGGGTCCACAGTGAGCTAACAGCTAACAGCTAACAGCTATATTATTTATTATATCCAGTAAATACAGTATTATATATATTATTATATTATAATATTATATTATATATATTATAATATAATAATATTATTATATTATAATATTATATTATATATATTATAATATAATAATATTATTATATTATAATATTATATTATATATTATATTATATTATAATATAATATAATATTATATTATATTATAATATTATATTATAATATTATATTATATTATATTATATTATATTCTTATATTATATTATATTCTTATATTTATTATTATATTATTATATTATATTATATTATTATATTATATTATTATATTATAATATTATATTTTATTATTATATTATTA